ATGTCTGCAGAAAGAGGTACTGGTGGTTTCTGTCTGACATGGTAGCCAAATGGCCTTTGGGGTTCTCTGAAAACCAATCTTGCTCATACTTGGCACGTTCACGAAGATGCTGGGAAGTCTCATCCAGCAATCTGTGGGGATGCCATCAAGATGTAGGTGATACGCAAACCAATTTCTGCTTCTCCTGTGTTTTATTCCATTTCCTCAAGGATAAAGGGTAGAAGCAAAGTGTTCCCCGGTGAGGGGGCTGCCACTGGGAATATTATCCCTGGGTCCCATCCCCTGATCTCTCAAGGGGTGGTTTCACACAGCATCCTCTCCATCTAGGCCGTGTAAGACGGCAGGTTCTCCCTGAGGATGATGATCCTGGAGGTAACAAAGTTGTGTATTAATTGTATTCCTGTCTCCTGAAAATTTCATGTTATTAGTTAACGGAAAGTGGGGCCTCTAACCACTAACCCCTTTATCTCTTTCCTCTTTCCTAGTCAAAACAGTTGAGAAAGCTGGGAAGAGGCCAGTGCGAAACCACGTCTGTAACACAGCACAAAACTAGCATGGATGCAGTTTTTAAAAGCCAAGCTGGAGTCACCGCTGCCAGGTGGTATTTTTTGAGTCCAGCAGTATGTAACACAAAATAAATGAATGCATTTCCAAAACTGTCTTCAGAAGTAAGCTGAGTGTGACTGATCAGTAACTTGAATCCTAATTGCCCTGTCCTGCGTCACTCAAGAACAGCAGTATCACACAATGAGATGCCAAATGACACTGGAGGTCTCCAACTGCTCCCCCATATTAGCCTCCTTTTCCTTCCTACCTGAGTTGGAAGTCCAGCCGCTCTTTCAGCTCCACCAGTACAAGGAGATGATCCGATGAACAACGGGGACTCCATTTTGTTCCCTGGGAAGGAGAGAGATGGGATGGAAGAAGCCTTGTGGTGGTCACCAGAAATGGAGCTGACAGGAAAGGGATAAACTCCATCTTTTCTAGCCTGAAGGCACTACTTAAGACTTCTTCCTGTCCAATGAAGGAAACCTCCATCCATCAGCCCTACCCTCTGCGTTCAGTGCCTTCCATAGGCTCCATCTTGGGAGCTAAGAATAAAAGGAGAAGAGAAGACCACAGCCCCACCATGCATTGACCGATCAACACATCAGTCAGAGGTTACAGCCAGGCTGGGTGAGAAGCCCAGAAAATGTGAGAAAGAGCATGGGGACAAACCCGAATTGGATTTCTCTCCTAGCCTTTTGGGCAGGAATGAATCAAGGAAGTATACTCTTGGCAACCAAACCATTCACTCAGCCACGGTAATGCTCCCCCAACCCCCTGTAGCTTGAAACCATTATGTTCCATGTGGATGGGCAAATGTTAAAATTCTGCCACCCCAGGAACACTCCTGGAAGGACAGATGGTGTCAGAGATGATCCAGCAGGGATATGTGTGAGAATTTTCAAGAAATTGTCTATTAGGAAAGGCCAAAGACAGGTTGCTCCCCTCCCCATCTCTGAGAGGTATCTCAGGATGGAGGAGTCAGAATGTAACCCAGGGCGTTCCCCAGAAGAGGTCAGTCTTCTGCAAACAGGGAATCATCTGAAGGTAGTGCGTGGACTGAAAGGACTTCCTTTGTGGGACTTAAGCCTTCTAGCTTGGAGAGTTAAGTCTTTCTTGTTGGGTCACCTTATAGTAAGTCCAACGACCAGACACGAGAAGATACAGAGAATTAAGAATAAGTAGAATCTCTTGGGAAAACCTCCAACCCCATAGAAGGATCTTCCCTTACCTAGTGAGACGTCCTGACATTGACATTCCTCCTTGGAGATCCTGCTGAGACACAGCTCTTGCAAGCCCTCTTTGTCCATCAGTGGGGATAGAAGAGGACAATGGAACAATTTCTCAAAATAAGTCCTCTGGAACAACACAGGCACAATTTCTCTAATGATATTCTCTAAACAACTTCTTGAATTATTATTAATTCCAGAATCTTTGTTAGGTAGACATGTAAGAATTCAAGCACATTAATACCCCTTCATATTTCCCAAGATGAGCATCTCTCACCTGGCACCCTTCGTGCTCCTTCTCTTCCCAGTTCAGGAGGAACCCTTCGGCCAGGGCCACCGCCTGGGAGCTGGTCTCCGCCTGGCACTCCCGCACCCAGCGCTGCATCTCCGTGGGCAGGCCAGCCAGAAACTGCTCCAAGATCACTTGGTCTAACATCTGGGCCTTGGTGTGTTTCTCTGGCTGCAGCCACCCCCAGCAAAGGCGGTGAAGGCGGCTGCAAAGCTCTCGCGGCCCCTTGGCCTCCTGAAAGGGACTGTTCCTGAAGCGCCAGTGCTGGATTTCAGAGCTGAGGGCTTCCTCCTCCAGGACCCTCTGCCCAGTTCCTGCCCAGACCTCCCCACAGTTCCCGGGCTGAGCAGCAGCACGGCCCTTTCCCATTCCCTCGCACGCTGGCTGGTTTGCGTCCATGTTCGGTCCGTTCTCTAACATAGATCCAGAAGGGCCCTGCGGATCTCCTGGGCCTCCAAAGGTCTTTTCAGTCCTAGGATCTGCATGAACTGCACAGAGAGGCCGGGAGAAGTTTTTAAGCCATTCAGCTCTCAGGTGGCCTCCAGCTTTGACATCTGAGGTGGAAAGGAAAGCAAACTTCAGCAATTACAC